AGGAGCAAGATCACTTGATCATTGCCTGTTGGTCCACTCCCTCTGGGGCACCTGGCATTGGCCACTGTTGGTAGACAGGATACTGGGCTAGATGGACCTTCGGTCTGCCCCGGTATGGCTGTTCTTATGGTCTTATAAGTCCTCCCTGGCCTGGCGGACTAGCAGCTAGGAGATCCCCAGCTGGGACACTCCCAGCAGCATGGGGAGATCAGCTTTCATGGGGCGGGGCTTATTTCACAGCCCGTGACACATTTTCCTTGGCCATGAAATTGGTAGGGTCCTAAAAGATAGGCCCCAGGCCTGATCCTGCCATGTCGAGTCTGCTTAAACTTTGAACAGAGAAAGTATAAGTCGTAAGATGGAGATCTTCCAAATAATTATTTGGAATACTCTGGAAAATACATAGAAAGACTTAAACAGACTTTACATAAAAGCTACCTTTGGATTCTGACCTGTTGGGAAGATTCCAGAGAGACTTTTACAAGCCAGCAGTTTATTCCATCACTGCTGTGATCCTAAACTATGAATACTGGAAGTCACTTGTATGTATATTGATCTTTTAACCATTTGTAACTTTCTGCTTTCTTTTTCCTTTTATTATTAAATCTTTAGCTTTAGTTACTAAAGGATTGGCACAGCATGATTAGTGGGTAAGATCTGAGACTCATATTGACCTGGGGATAAGTGTCTAACCAATCCAAAAGGACCAGTCTCCCATATGGTGAATCAAGTTTTCATTAACCCCTCTCTATATTAGACTTGGCTGTCTAGATGCGATCCAGGGGCTGGATTGCCTAATGGTGACTGTATTTGGCTTCTTGTTAACCACTGTGGCATTACACAAGCTGTTTTGTTACTGGCTTGGCTAATATAATTACAGAATAAACTGCCAGTTTTGGGGATTGTCTTCCCTGTTTCTTGCAGTCTGCCCTGAGTGTGGCATTCTCAGTGTGGCCCATCCAGGCATCCACTTAAGTCAATGAAAAGACCCCCCTCGTCCTTGGCATCAGTGGATACAAAATCAGGCCCATGAGAACCAGTCCTATGAGATGCTAAGCACCTCCTAGAAAGTACTGACTGCCCTCAACTCCCTTTGAAGTGAATGGGTGAAATCCTGACCCCATTGAAATAAATGGCAAAACTCCCATTGACTTCAATGGCATCTGGATTTCACCCAGTGAGAATCGAGGGCTCTTGAAATCTGTAGGACAGGGTTGGGCAAACTACAGCCTGCAGGCTGAATCCGGCCCGTTAGGGCTTTGGATCCGGCCCACCAGGGGCGGCTGCAGGCACCAGCGCACCAAGCGCGTGCCTGGGGCGGCAAGCCGTGGGGGGCGGCCTGCCGGTCACCGTGAGGGCGGCAGTCAGGCTGCCTTTGGCGGCATGCCTGCGGGAGGTCCGCCGGTCCCGCGGCTTCGGCGGCAATTCGGC